CGGTGTGATAGAAAGCGAAGGCGTGGGAGTTGGGGAGGACTAACGGCAAGGCTGAAGGTTAACCCACATAGAGCGCCACTTCCATCCATTTTGTTTACTAACGTTTGTTCTCTGGAGAACAAAATAGATTATCTGAAGTTGGATTTTACAACAAGGCATGAGGTGAGAGACTGTTGTGTTATAGTGCTGACGGAGATGTGGTTAAAGTCATCTCTTCCTAAGAAGGCTGTTGGCATGGAGGAGTTAATGATGTTCCAACTGGATAGGAGTCCTGCTCTGAGTGGAAAAATTCAAGGTGGTGAAGTATGCATCTATATCAATAACAGATGGTGCATCAACTCAAAGGTGGTTTCAACTTATTGTTCACCTGATGGGAAGTTATTGACTATCAGATGTAGACCCTTTTATCTGCCCAGGGAATTCACCGTTATTATTATTACAGCTGTGTGTATACCCCCCTCTGCAAATATGAAGGAGATCTTGAAAGTCCTTTATCATAATATCAGTGACTTGCAAACTATCCACCCGGAGGGTGTGTTTATTGTACTTGGAGACTTTAATCAGGCTAATTTGAAAACAGTCCTCCCTCATTTCCATCCATATGTGGATTTTGCAACCAGGAGTAGGAGCACACTGGAATTAGCCTATTCTAACATCAAGAGTGCATTTAAAATTTTTGCCCACCCTGATCTTGGCTCCTCAGACCATCTTACTGTAATGCTAATTCCAGCATATAGGCCTTTGTTAACTAGAGAAAGACCAATAGTGAAGCAGGTAAGAGTTTGGCCTGAGGGAGCAATGGAAACATTACGAGGCTGTTTTGAGCGTATAGACTGGAATATGTTTAGGGAAGCTGCAACGAATAACCAGCATACGAATGTGGAGGAATGCATTTCATCTGTAACTGCATATATCCAGAAGTGTATGGAAGATGTCGGTGTTACTAAGAACATCATCTTACGGCGAATCAGTAAGCTTGGATGACTCATGAAGTATATGTGAAGTTGAAAGTGAGGAACGCTGCTTTTAAGTCTAGTGATACGGAGGCTTTTGGAACAGCTAGAGCTGATCTGAGCCGGGCTGTAAGAACAGCAAAGTGGGCTTATGGTCAGAAAGTTCCATTTTTTTTTTCACGATTCTACAAATACCAGGTGTATGTGGCAGGGTATTCAGACTATTACAGATTATAAGATTACTCCGACATCATATGAGGAGAATATAGATTTTCTTCATGAACTTAATAGGTTTTTTGGTAGGTTTGAAGCATTTAACAATACTCCTGTGAGGAAGGCTGTATCTCATCCTGACAAGCAGGCACCTACCCTTGATACAGTCGATGTTCGGAGGACCCTGAGAAAAATCAATATTCAGAAAGCAGCGGGCCCAGATAATATTCCAGGGCGGGTGCTGAGGGACTGTGCTGAACAGCTGGCCAGTGTCCTTACAGACATATTTAATATTTCCTTGCACCAGGCTGTGGTCCTGGTAGGCTTTAAGGCTGCGACTATTATACCTGTCCTTAAAAAATCTACGATCACATGTCTCAATATTTACTGCCCGATAGCACTCACTCCCATTGTGATGAAATGTTTTGAGAGGCTGATGAAGGATTACATTGTTTCCAGACTCCCTCCTTTGTCTGATCTGCTTCAGTTTGCTTGTTGATGGAATCACTCTGTAGAGGATACAGTCTCTTCTGTTCTTCATTCAAGTCTGGTACATCTTGAGGAGAAGAACAGTTATGTGTGATTGCTGCTTATAGATTTCAGCTCAGCATTCAATATGATTGTTCCCCAGCATTTGGTGGACAAACTGGGTTCTCTGGGTTTCAGTAGTCCCTTGTGTAATTGGCTACATGACTTCCTTACTGAGAGGTCTCAGTCGGTGCAAGTTGGAAATAATATCTAGCTCTATCTCTCTGAGCATCGGGTCCCCACAGGGCTGTGTCCTGAGCCCATTGTTGTTCACCCTGATGACCCATGACTGTTTTGCCAGGTTCACCATCAATTCTGTTGTGAAATATGTGGATGATACAACAGTGGTGGGTCTTATCAGGGATGACAATGAGTGGGCTTATAGGGAGGAGGTGAAGGACTTGGTGGAGTGGTGTAAGAAAAACAGCTTGGTCCTAAATGTGGAAAAAACAAAGGAGATTATTATAGATTTCAGGAAGAATCAGTGTAGTCATACTCTACTTTTTATTAATAACATACAGTAGCTGTGGAGTCAGTAGCATTAGATTCCTAGGGGTGCAGTTAATGAATAGTTTGACTTGGTCCCTAAACACTGCATTTTTGGTAAAACGAGCATAGCAACGTTTACATTTTTTTGTGCTGGATGAGGAAAGTACATCTCCCATCCTCCATTCTCCTTACTTTCTATAGAGGCACTATAGAGAGTGTACTAACCAACTGTATTAATGAATAGTTTGACTTGGTCCCTAAACACTGCATTTTTGGTAAAACGAGCATAGCAACGTTTACATTTTTTTGTGCTGGATGAGGAAAGTACATCTCCCATCCTCCATTCTCCTTACTTTCTATAGAGGCACTATAGAGAGTGTACTAACCAACTGTATTTCCATCTGGTTTGGAGGCTGTAGTGCCTCAGACAGAAAGTCGGTGCAAAAGGTAGTAAGGGCAGCAGAGAAGATAACTGGGATCCCTCTGTCTCTCATCTAAGATCTAGCATATGTGTACTGTTTGTTTAGAGCTCGAAAGATTGTCAGTGACGCCTCCCATCTTCATCACGGCCTGTTTTCTTTGTTACCTTCTGGGAAGAAGTTCCACTGTATCTGATGTAGAACAGCCAGATTGGGAAATAGCTTTGCCCCGCCCAAGCTATCGGATTTTTGAATGAATGTGTATAGAATGTATATTTTATAGTAATTATGGTATCTTCATGGTACTTCTAGTGTCTGATTGTAATTGTGAGCCAACTGCAACGGAATTTCATTTTAGTGTATAGTGGAATAACAATAAAGTTATTATTCTATTCTAACCACTCCACTACTCACACCCAGATAGTCAGTATTATCATCAGCTTATTTTTGTTTTTGTCCTAGGTAGGTAGACATGCTTCTAAATAAATCATTGGACTGTCATGAATAATTCTTATTCTTTTAAAATGTCTATATAGTTCCTTATAGGGTATGGAAGGTCTCTTGGAAAGAAAATAATGCTTGATTTGTTTTGCAGGATTCCTGTTTTTTTTTTTTAATTAAAATAAAATATTTTGCATATATCAGAGTGATGGGGAAATACAGTGGGCTCTGAGAAAATGTGTATAAGCAGCACACTGAGGAGCCCAGGCTAAACCAGCCTCACTAATAGTTCTATTACGTAATCCTGTGCATGTCCTCAAACCTTATAGAATTAATGGGACTTACTCTAGGGTATGTAGGATTGAGGCCTTGATAAGTCCCTATTTTATAAAATAAATCTGTGTGTATTCTAGAATGGAAAAATAAACACTACAGAAGTTGGGATATAAACATTTTCTGTGCTAAGTTCATGAGTAGTCATCAATGTAAAATAGTATTGCCTTGGCTGAAGAGAAACAAATCGTATTTCCATTTCTTTTATAATAAGAAATTGTAATATTTACACATCAGAATTTCAGTAATGCAGGCTATTGATTTGTGAGATCGTAAAAAAGCACGTGAAAGTAAAATGATTCTAGAAGCGGTGATAGTTTTTAAACTATGTTAATTTCCACTTTTAATAAGTTTGCCCCCCAGCTGATCTTGATTATTCCTGAAAATATTAAGCAATGTTGAAACTGTTAATATTTGAATGAGAAACAACCAAGCACTTCTGAGGTTGTAGGTTAGACTGGAAAACGTAACCATCTCTATATTACTGCCAAGAAAATTAGATGGAACATACAGTCATCACAAGACACCACCTCATTATTTCCAGCTGTTTTAATTTAACAAATTAAAGTTTGTGATGCATGACATATTATTTCAGTATTCAGGGGCAAGCCTTCATAAGATAAGCTACATTCGTAAAGCTGCAAAAAAAGAATAAATTCTGTTGTATGATCATAAGTATTAGCTTAATTAAAAAGATAGTTTCGCTTTAAATGGCCATTTCCTATTTAGATATATAGACTCTTCTTTCCTAGTCTTTGAAATGTGCATTTACAAATGCATCTTAGATGTGCATCCACCAGCGTTCCTCCACATGCATTCATACATAATGTAGCAAGAGATGACATTGAAGATAAACTTTTAAGTAAACGTTTCTATCATTTTCTTATTTGTTACTATGTTTGCCCAATATTTTTGTCTAGTTTAGAATAGTCAATAACAAGTGCTATTATTAACATCGGGTACATTTATCATCACTTCCATGTGTAATATTTCACAAATAAATCAGGAGTGGAAAATTGGTTTCTATTTCTTCTGGGCTTCTTAAAAATATATAACCATGATACAATAAGTGTGGTTTAGGATTTTTCAGTTTTATAAACCTTTAATGTATCTTTTGAGTGGCAGTTACCATTTATTTTTTTTTTAGTGATCAAAGAATCAGGAGCTGATACTCCTATCACAATGGATTTTGCTATAGAGACTCTGCAGTCCAGAAGTGCTATTAAATCCACAGTAGTAAGCACAGATTCTTGTTTGATCTCTGTTGGAAACTCTGCATAGAGACTCAGCTTGAAAGAAATCTGCTTCCGAGGCTAGAATGAATACATTTTCCTCTCATTGCCATAGGGCAAATAGAAGCTAATAATTCATTTGTTCTAAAGGCATATGTACTCGCTGTCTAACTGAAATGAAGAATCAAAGGAGTTATCCTAAATTGAGAGGCAAATGGGGAAGAGTATATACAGTATAGCATAGCAACCTGTGTAGCAGATGTAGTACTTGCCAAGAAAGCAAATGTTACGTTCTTGTTTTTTTCCAAGAGAACATTGGTTAGACATTGCCATTTTTGAAAATAGAGGTATAAGAACTAAAAAGAAGGTCCATATGTTGGAAATTCTGTTAGAATTAAAAGAAGCTCTTGTTTGTACATCATACATATTTAATATAGGAATTAGTGTGTTATTTGCCATTTTTTTTTAAAAAAACCCTAATATCTTATGCAAAGCTGAAGATTTTACTTTGCTTTAGCACAGCAGGCAATTTTTCTGAAGCATATAGTGGTACGGATTTAGAGGTAGCACAGTTATTTTCCTAGGGTTTTCACTTGTGATGTTAGTTTATTCACATATTGTTTTTATTACTACAGATGCAAAGGTGATAATGGTTACTTATAAATGCTGCAATCTTATAATTGTGGGTGAAGTAAATTTCAAAATATAGCAACTATGTATCATTTTTACTTCTTTAGAAACCCCCCACAACGTCATTTTATGAACTGTCTACTTCAGTGTTTGTTTTGAATTTCTTAATGAATCAAGAGCTTAAATACATGAATGTTTGTTATAAGACCATTGAATCTGGAGAAATTGCATGCAGAATTTTTTCTATTCCAATGCTGCTTCTCCTTCTTGTACCATCTGCTCTTTCTGGATCAGCAATGCTTCATTGGATCTAGAAAAAATATCCAGTTCTTTGCTTGGCTAAAGATAATGAATTGCTCTTGGCAAATTATAATCAGTCAGTGGAACATCTCTGTCTTAGTAAAATGAAAGTAAACTACTTCACAGGATTATTTTAGGATGAAATAAGAAAGGTTATAGCATGATCCGTGTTCACTAAAAGGAATTCTAATTTACCATATCTCTGTAATGATTTTCCTTTCTCATTTCCTTTCCTAAACTTTTCCCTAACTAGTTAACTATTTATTTTCTGGCTATTTATAGTCTGACTTTGTGTGACAATTATTGTCTCCCAAAGCAACCCATATGGTAAAAAGATGAGGAGAGCTACCAAATACTTACAGTCTAAAAAGACAAGAAGCCCAAAGGAAGGGGAGTAAAGAAAAGGTGAACAAAGTTCTTCAAGGCCAGACAGAAGTGGTGAACTAACTTTTTAATTCAAGCTAGTCTGATTTTCTATGTGGCATTGCTTTGTTTGTTCTACTAGGTTTAGGTACTGGGAGGAAAACAATAGATTTTGTAATACAATTGACATTAGATGTTATGCAACGTGAATAGACTGAGAAGTTATCAGAAAGGTTTAAAGAGGTGAAGAATTATTAGGCTCATAATATTTTGGGCTATTTCTTCAGGATAGTTATGTGGTAGACAATAAGATTATCGAGTGTTATAACAGTGTTGCCAAGTTGGCATTTTGCAGATAAACTAATACACTGACTCCTGCTAGGCAGAGGAAGGAGATACCTTGAATGGAGCATAGCCTAGAATCCTGCTATGTCATAGTAACCTATTAAGTATGTTTGAGTGTTTTGAAGGTGCATCTGTTTCTCTCTCCTTCTTCCTTCCTTCCCCAGCTCTTATCCATACAACAGTAGTCAGCAATACTTAAGCAGTGGGAGAACTGCAAGTTTGCATCCTGATCTCTCAGAGGGTTAGAGACCAAATGAACTTGTCATTGAAGGGAATGGAACCAAATTTTTTAAGTCCATTAATTTGGAATAAAATTTAAAAAGAAATTGTACTGTTGAACTTTACTGATTCAATAATGGGTAGTTGAGGGAGGCACACGGGCCTTGCAGGATGTTCATCCCTCTTACCATTCCAGAACAAAAAACATATGAGATAAAAAGGCAGGTCAAACCAATGTAAATATCAGCGAATCAGTAAAAGACATAAAGGCTATGCTTCTTAATAATTTATCTGGCTTCTACTCTGGGGGAGGCAAAATACTATATATCTAACAGCTTACTCTGAGTTAGTAAAAAAAAAAAATTCAAAATGTGCGATTGAGTAATATTTTTGTAAGGATTCTCCTAGCAGGTAAGCAACATCTACTTGTCATTTTCTGTGTGGGAACCTAAGCAAGATTGTACCTAGTTACTTCTTAGATGGGGGACTTTTAGGAAACATTAGCACTTTAGACAAGGATGGAAAATTAAAACAAACAACAACACACAACAACAACCTTGAGAAGACAAAGTGACTAATCATTTTCCTCTTTTTGCAAAGGAAATTATGAATCTGAGCTTAATTTGAAGGAGATTTTGCTTAGTTGCTTACTTTATTGGGACTGACCAATAGGACACACATTGCTGAATTATACTGAATGCTTCATCAGTTTAGGTGGGACAGAAAGGAGGGGATGGGGAAATAGTAAGATAGTTCATGAAATTTATTAGAGAACTACTTGATCTGTTTAGAAGAAAATGCTTAACTTGTTAATCTGGGATGACAGATATAATAAGCATTAATCTGAAATGCGAAAAGATGTGTTTTAGGTATCTGGAATATCTAAAGCAATAAAAAATATTTTGTATTGAAAAATAAATGTAGTAGTTTACCTTGGTACGTGAAATACAATATTACTGTAATATTTTTCCTTTTTCTTTTCCCTTGAAAAACTTCTGCTGTTTTCTAAAACATAACTACTAACTTAACAAGCTTCTAGGTGCAGTATTTTAAAGACTTATATTTTTTTGTTTTGTTTTGTTTTTTTACTGTTATAGCATTTTAAAGAGATTTTAGTGCAAACACAGGTCTTCAGCCCTGGCTGAAGACATTGATTTTATATTGTATATGGGGGGGGGACAGGGAACTTCATGCTTAATATTGTCCAGTAAGCAGTTATCTAGTTATCTACTTAATTATTGTACTCAATACTAGTAAGAAAACTATTATGCTTAAGCTCCATTTTAATATTTTGTGCAGATAAACACAAAGACTGTTCTGGAGTGACTTTACATCTGACTAATCAAAAGTAAGCATCTTTCATGTAATTTCTTAAATATTGTTCTCCAATTCTTTTGAAAAGTTTAATGTGAGCTTTAACAGAAGTACAGAATTCTAGTGATAGTCCGAGTATGTCCTGGTAAATAAGACAGATTATTTAGTGAATACATTCTTCAAAGTGACTTGATAATATGTTTCTAAAATTGTAGAAAGACTGTTTGGAGTAAAATAAAACATTTGCTGTCCTTTTCATCTTGAAAAATAAATGTTCAACTTTTAATATGTAGCCAAAGTAAATATTCCTTGGAATATTGCTCACTGCTTCTTCTTTTTTGTTTTAGATTTCAGGGTAAAAAATTTATTTTGCCCAAATCTAATTTCACTTTCCATTGCTGCTTGATTGTGGACTGTTCTTTAAGTCCTAGTTTTGTTAATGTTGAGACATGGCTGACTTGCTGGCTTGCTTCCTCCTCCTCCTCCCCCCCCCCCCCTTCTGCCCCCCCCCCTTCCCCATGCAAAGACAAAGTTTGGCTTTATATGCATTTACTCCTCTTTTCACCGGCAATTAATTAGTTCATCAACTAATGTATTCATTCATCTTCATCTGGGAAGGGGAGAGGGGAGCCTTGGAGGAGAATCTATATAAACATTTATTTATTTAAGATATTTATAAGGCAATCCAGTTCCAAACAATGCTGTCATTGTACAAGAATAAAAACAGAAAAGAAACCAAGCCAAATAGCAACAGATAATGGTTAATCCAGAGGGAACACTTCACATTCTTCTAACATACTCACATCCTTAAGGAACCACCTACTCATCTTAGCCCAAAGTCTGGGAAGAGAGTCAAGTCTCCTAAAGGACAGCAGGGTGGGGCTGTGTGGACATCTGGGGGATACTATTCCAGAGGGCAGATGCATTATGAAAGGCAGTGTTTCGGAGGGATATATCTTCCAATACAGTACCTTGATTTTAACTGTGATAGAGAGCTGTTTGAAAATAACATAAGTTATTGACATAGAAATGGAAAAAATAGTAACATTAGTTGATGTTACTAATTAACTACCAGGGAGAATGTTTACTGGCCAATAAAGAACCTTCAAAAACTATTTTAATCTTTCCCCCCGATGATGAATGTCAGCTTTTAAACTTCTTTTAAAGCTATTTTGTATATAATCGAAGTGTGGAAAGCAGAAATGTAAGCCTTGTAGAACTGTTTTCTGTATTTCTATTGTAACTCTCAAATCAAGAATTGTATACAGATAGCCTCGACTTACAACCATTTGAAGTTACACAGCGCTGAAAAAAGTGACTTACAACCAGTCGTCCCACTTATGACCATCACAGCATCTCTGCAGTCACGTGGTCAAAATTTGGGCACATGACAACTGGCATGTATTTACAATGATTCCAGCATCCTGGGGTCACGTGATTGCCATTTGCAACCTTTCAGGGGGTTTCCAACAAGCAAAGTCAATGGGGGAAGCCAGATTCGCTTAACAACCGCGTGATTTACTTAACTGCAGTGATTTGTTCAACAACTGTGGCAAAAAAGGTCATAAAATTGGGTGTGACTCATGTAATGACTGCATTGCTTAGCAGCAGAAGTTCCAGTCCCAGTTGTCATAAGTTGAGGACTACCTGTACCATGCAACTGGGAGCCATGAAATTTGTGATTGTCTCACCACAAGTGGTGTGCAAACCTCACACCTGCATATGTGCATTATGTTTTTTTAATAATTTTACTGACTTTGAGTAACTGCATAAACTCTTACTTTGTACTATCAGTCTATAAATAGCTATATATGGTGGGTTTGAATTTTTGAAAGTGCTGTATATAGCTAAATAGCTCTTTTCTTTTTAAAAAATCAGCAAGCCATAGTGATTGGGTAGATTCAGTTAAAGTTACCCTGTTAGTAGATTTAAAAATATAGTAAATAATGAATCAGGGCAATATATCTAAATTTGATATGCGTTTCTTCTTTTTCTTTTAAAGGCAGCCTCTGATTGCTGGCATGTATCTTATGATGTCCATGGATACTGTTATACCTCCTGGAGAAAAAGGTGAATAAAATAGGTAATCCTGTCCACCCAGCCCTCTGTCAGCCTTTGCAATCTTTTCAGGTGAAACAGCCTAACACTTCCTCATGTGGAGCTTTAATACTGAAAGCTATATTAGAAGAACGTTATAGCAAGTTCAGATATTAGTTTCTTTGGTTATCATTATCAGAACATCAACATAGCAATCTAATAAAAAGTGTATCAATTTCTGATAATTACTAACTGAAAAATGCGTGTTATTATTATTACTATGTATGTATTCCTTTAATCAGTACTTTTTCAAATTTTCATTTTTTTTTTATGATGGGAGTATACATAAACATGCATGTGTACTGAAACACAAAGGGAAGCTGCATTGCTAAATTCTAATACTTCAGATACTTTTTTTACTTTTAAGTCATTTATATTCATTCTCGTTGTCTTTCTCACACACGCATACACAGAGAGAGATTACTGAACCTCCTAAGTATTTCAGCATAGTCAAGGAACAGGTCATATACAATATGCTATCTTTAATTTATCTGAATTATTACCCAAGTTTCACGACAAGTAATAACTTCCAGTTAATATGGCTGAGCTTCAGGGTTCTCTTGTCTTATTGGCTGCAAAAAAAAGTGAGAATGAAGATTTTCACTTCCATGGTTATGTAACCTTATCATGGCACCCACATTTGAAATTATGCTTAATATTTACAGTGGTTTTCTGAATCAATTCAGTTTCATGGGTTTTAATTAGGCTTCTCTTCCACTGGTCATTCCCAGATTTGTTGAAATCTCCAACCCCTCCTCCATTGGTACCCCACATTCTCTAGTTATTGGCTCATAGTTCTATAGTGGTGTGGGTTTTTAGAACCACAAAATGTCTGTGGATATTTTGCTAGGAAATATCTGTTTAACATTATCTGCAAACAGTCATCCCACCCACCAAACCAGCTCAGATAATTCCATGTACTTATGGATTGATTGAGTGACTCTGTATAGTAAGAACAATATTATGCATATGAATATATGCATACATGGGAGTTTTTCCTTCAGTTAATTAAGCAGAATAGCCATTAACTGCAATGTGTGAATGAAAGACTATGCAAAGATATTTGTGGATGAATGCAAGAACAATTTCTGCCCACATTTCTGCTGGTACTAGTATATTGCCAAGTATTTCATTTAACTTTACAACCATAATTCTAATTGTCTTCAATATGTAGACATCATTTTTAATGTCTTTCATTTCTGTTTTCTAACAGTGGTTAATGCAGATATTGCTTGCCATTATAAAATGTATCCAATGCATCCATTTGCTTATAGAGTGCACACCCATCACTTAGGTAAGTCTTTATATTTATTGATAATTCTCTTTCCTTAGTAGTGGTTTAGGCTTAATTCTCATACCCAGCCTTTTTTGGAGGTGGGGGCGGTGGCGGTAGCAAGGTCTCCTGATTGCTGTGAAATGGAATTGGGTTGTTAATTGTAATGTAAATTATTCCATAATGTCTACACAATATATATACTTATGTATACAGTATTGTGCGTGTGTGTGTGTATTTGTGTATATACCTGTATATATACACACAAACACACACACACAGTGTTGTGTATATATGTATATATCACACATATATATTATTTAAATCTGAAGAGTGTTAGGACAGGAACCCTCTTAAATATATGTGCCGTGTATCCTGGTCCAGATTGATAAATATTCATAAAACTTAGTATGCAGCTTCCATACCTGGGCTGCAGAAATCCAGATGAACACTAGATAGCAGTAAAAAGATACAGATGGTCCTTGTATAATCACCACTCATTCAGCAACTGTTCAAATTTGTGATGGTGCTCAACAAGTGGTATTTACGACTGGTCTTCAAAGTTCCAGCTGTCGCAGTGCCCCTGCAGTCACATGATCACAATCTGGGTGCTCAGCAACTGGCCCAGATTTCCCACTGTCACAGCATCCTGCGGTCATGTGATTGCCATTTGTAACCTTCCTTTTGCAGGTTTCCCACAAGCAAAGTCAATGGGGAAGCTGGTCAGAAGTCACAATCATGTGAGGTCCTCACTTAACAACCTGTGGTGATTTCCTTAACAATGGTAACCAGGGACTGCTGGAACGGCTGTTGCTAAGCAACACAGTCATGTGACATTGTGCTTTATGACCGCATTGCTTAGCGATGGAAATTCCAATTACTGTTGTTAAGCAAGGAGTAACTGTACAGAAAATCCTAACTATTTGCAGCTTTTTAGTGGTTGTTCAGGTTTCTGCACCACATCCAGTTGCTCTAACTTAGAGAAGCTAAAGGCATATGAAGCCAAGTGGTACTCTGTCCAAGCTCTGCAGTGGGACAGTATTTTTATTAGAGCCACCCCAAAAATCACAACATAATGAGTTCATTGTTTTGTTACATTTAAGCCCAACCCTCACGGTCAGTTTTTTTTCCCATGAGTGCAGTTTTGCCAGTATAAGTTTTAGGCAAATGGTATTACTGCCAGTTTAACTTTCTTTTAGAATTTTTTACAGTGATTAGGTGATAAAAATATTGATAGTGCAGATTTTGTGAAGGCAGGTTGCCATACTCAGAAACAATGGTAAAGTATAAGCATAAAAGACTACTATGTAACTAATATATAATCATCATCATCATCATACACATTTTGTCCAATTAATTATAATAGCTTTCTTATGGATTAATCTATTAAATGTTGTAGTCATATTATAAAATCTTATGCAATATTAATATAATTATGTGAGAATGATCTGTGGATTTCTAAGGAGGCATATGTATAAATGAGCAAATATCAACAATCCAAGCCTTTAACATTATCAGTTGGCTTAAACTGCAAACTGGTATTTTTTGTTATTTCTCTACATTGTTTATTTTGCTAAACTGTGAAATGGTAGTAGCACACAAGGTTTAATTCTATAAAACCTGTTTATTTACAAGGGAAATGTTTTTTTGTTGCAGGAAAAGTAGTAAGCGGGTATCGAGTTAGAGATGGTCAATGGACACCGATTGGCCGGCAAAGTCCTCAACTGCCACAGGTATGTTTATTCACATTTTGAAGGTATCTTGGGTTATTGTGCTTCCCTGTTAAAGAATAATTACTCTCACTGTGTAATTTAATGGAGATGTGAATAGTTAAAAGTGTAGGTGTAAACAGGAGAGCCAACATGGTAGATGGTTAAAATTTTGGAATAGGAATGGGGCAAAACAGTTCTAGTCCACCCTCAGCTATGAAAGCTCACTGGAAGACTTTGGAACAGCCATCCTCTCTCAGCCCAACCCACCTCAAAGGGCTGTTGCTGAGGGAGTAAAATAGGTCTTGTACTGTGCTTAAATATAAGCACATACCCAATAAAAATATTTCTACTATTACTAATGCCACTAAGTCAGTAGTAGCAGGAAGCCTAAAAAAATTAAAATGGCATGTTAGATGAGTAGTTTGAATTGATTGCAACCTTTTATAAAATATGGACAAAAATAGTGTCACAGGCAGCAGTTAATATCCATTAATAATTTCTCAAGCATTTTAGCATAGCTTTTATCTTACATCAGGCTCCAAGATAAGGGAAAATGGATGAGCATGACTGAACAAAAATAGAGACCAGACCCCAGAGTTTTTCCTTTTTACACTACAAACATCTGCATCTCTCATTCTGCTTCTCTAACTCCCATAATTTAGAGGGTGTATGAGTAGCTATTCAAGAAAAATATATACTACAATGTGAGACATTTTTGTGTTTGTCCAGTTTTTTCTTTTATTCATTTAGCCAAATTTTGAGGGCTAGAAAGACTGTTCTTTTGTCCCTTTACTCAGAAATAAGTGCCACTGAGTAAAGGGACAAAATTTTCTTGTGCTCATAGGATATAAAATGTTATAAAGTACTATAATGCAGGTGAAAATAGGGAGCCTATTTAATACACACAGACACTTAATATATAATATACATACAAAAAATATGGAGGGATACAGTAGGTATTTAATTTGCAGTCAGATATCTTTAATATAATATTCATTGTAGTACATAATAAACGATATGTATTGCTGCAGTTTAGTACAAACCATATGTCACTTTTGGTACTAAATTTGTTTCATTTCATTCTTTTTCTGTTTTGCCTCTCTCTACTTTTGGCAAATAGAAAGGAATGAGGAGAACTCCCGCACACTGTTGAAAACAGATTGTAAGAGAATAACAAAGAATTCCTCCCACTTAGCATCACAGAATTACATAACACTTTATCAGTAACGTTCTCAGGATGACAATTTATATAATTTATTGCCACCTGTCTTGTATAATTATCTGATATAGACGGATACCCTAACTTGCTAATCAAGCATTTTTTAAGATAGCTAGAGAACCTGGAGGTGTATTTTCCTTTCACTCCTATTTTTATATAGAGTAGTTTCTGTGCTGCTTTCTATCTCATAAGAAACGTTTGTGTGTTTTAAAGTGTTTATGTGCTGTGCATTGTAGATCATGTGACACAGTAAAGAACATATCCAGTGAATCTCTGTCCTGCCAATAAGCCAGGTATACAATGTTCAACCAATACCGTTGGGACTAAAGTGACCAATGTGATTCATTTTATAGGATCTTATCAAATGAAAGTGGCAGAAAAACAGAATTTCCATCTTTGGGCAATCTCCAAATAATAAATTTTGATTACTAAAGAAAGGGAATTAGGCTTATTTCATGACATCAGTAAAAAAGACAATGTGTTTTAAATTGTACACCAAGAAGCCTAAAATATGAAATAAAAAACACAATCCAGTGATATATTCTATAAATTCCTAATAGTTAATAAAAGTAATAGAGGAAAGATAATTTACTAGTAGTTTGAAATCATTATTTCTGTTGTTTCATTTCTCAGGCATTTTACCCTGTAGAAAATCCTGTAGAAATCAAGTATGGTGATATTCTGGCAGCAAGATGTGTCTTTACCGGTGAAGGCAGATCTTCAGAAACATATATAGGGTACGTGTTAATATTTTTAAAGATTCTAATGGTTATATAAAAGTTTAAGAATCAAAATGGTTGCTGCACACAGAAAAAAACTTCTTTAGTTTCCTGCTAATGTGTTGTAGGGTATATAAGCTAATTGGCTAGAAAAATCTTATCCATTCCAGGATATTAACAGACCTGGATATTTCAAGGTCCATCTTGTCCTATATAATCGAACCTTTGCTTTAACTTTTGCTCAGAGACCTTTTAGCCCCACTTCTGAGGTAAGATGAGTAACGATTGGGGCTTCTCTGTCACATCTTCTGCGGTCAAGAACTTTTGATGTCAAGACAGCAATATTTGATTAACAGCTTTTGCTACTTTTATTTGTATTTTTGTCTGAATGACTTGTAAATGACTAGGAGAAGAAGGGTTTCTGATATATGGGTATTTAAATATATATTGAGAGTTGTTAGCCATAGCATGGTCAAGATTGTATTGATACAGGTTAAGACTTCCAAATGATTTTTTTTTTCATCATGCACATTAATCAAATCATTGTTGTGGCTGATGTTGTAAGGCTTGAAACTGACAAAGCTGGAATCATCAGTTTTTGAGTTAGAGAGTAGTGTTGTGAAAACATATCCCAGCTGTATCAGGGCTATCAAGAGGCTGGCCAAATTTCTGTTGGCTGAGAAAGGCAAGAAAAGAAAGCCAAGTATTTAAACTCTGGAGGGTAGACATAGAGGGCTCTGAATTCTTTACTCTGCTATGGATAGTCAACTGTTGTGTTAGAGGCTTCAGTCTTTCTCCAATAAAGTATGTAATCTAGCTGAGGTCTCTGAGAGTCTTTTGCCAAGAGTAGCCAAGCACTGAATAAGGGATTAGGTGTCTGCAGAACCATCATTTACTGCTGACTCCTGTGAAGCCTGAGAGATTTGATCAAGTACATAGAGTATATGTGTGAAACCCTAACAATGATGGCTATTCTGCAACCTGGTAGAATCAGCCAGGATCAATTTGTAAACATCATGTTAGTATCCCAATGAAATTTTGGTATATAAGCACTTTCAATAAGCAAAGCAAAATTTACTTACGTATTTGCATATTATATTTTTAATCTATACAATTTTGAAGGTTCTCTAGGCACGTTGCCTGAAAAGCATAAAAACACATTGAAAAGAAAGTGAAAACATAATAAGATACTATAAGAACCAAAACAGGAAATAGAAGAATATAAAATATATAGAAACAGCTGTTTAAAGTCATTTTTTTCTATTTCATTTTATTATAATGTGTGTTATTAAATGTTTATAGCAAGAACAAGATTCTTCCTCTGTTTATAGGATGGTGGTCATTTTTTAAAGGCATTATGTGCTACCATTCACAGTGACTATGGGAAATTGGTTCATTTGCAAGGAATAAATATGTTCTAGTAGTGAACATCTGGCATGATGAAGATGCTGTTTCTAAAGTACAGTATCTGTGCCTTGTTCTTAGAGTTAACATAATACGGCACAAAAATGATTGAGTATCCATCTCTCCTAACTCGCCAACAGTATAGCTTCTAGGATAGGGTAGGGAGTTCTTGCTTGAATTTCTTATTAAACCCATGTACGAGGTTTTTTTACACAAAATATACAGTAATGCATAGAACTACAGGTAGTCTTTGGTTAATGACTGGAATTGGGACTGGCAACTCCATTGCTAAGCAATGTGGTCATTAAGTGAAACATGTGACTGCGCCCAACTTATGACATCAGTTCTGCGGTTGTTAAGCAAATCACCCATGGTCATTAAATGAAACATCACATGACTGCAACTTGCAACTTCCTGCCAGCTTTCCTATTGACTTTGCTTGTTGGAAAACGTCTGTGAAAGTCGCGAAAGATGAGCATGTGACTGCGGGGTGCTGCAACTGTTGTAAATGCGCACCAGTTGTCTAGCACCCAAATTGTAATTGTACCTGGGGGGATGCTGCAATGGCCGTAAGTTTGGGGTCCAGTCATAAATCTACTTTTTCAGCCCTGTCATAAGTTCAAACAGTCACTGAATGAGGCAGTCATTAACCAAGGACTACCTGTACTTTTTCCAAAAGCATATATATAGCAACATAACTATTGTGTGCAGTCTGAAAATAGTAAAGATAAGTGGGTCTTGCAATAAAATATTAAAGATCGTAATGCTTCTGAACAAGATGTATCCAACTATATTCCCATTCTTACTACTGCTATTATACCACCGCTACTACTACTACTAATTATTATTATTGTTGTTGTTGGTTACATAGTTAGCCAGATGTTGTTGTTGTTGTTATATTAGGCAGCTTTCACTTCCATCACTGGCAATTTTATATTATTTAAAGAATGGCAAGATAGGGGTACAGGAGTGCTTGTTTCTTATAGCAGTCCCGTAGCAGTTGTTTGCTAGTTTAGGCCACCAAATGATAAGCTATATAAGGTATGGGCTGCATTGACAGAAGTTTCTTTGCATCAGTCTAAAAGGGGAAAGTTTGCCAAAAGACAGAAGGAGAAGGATGGGATTAATGGTATTAATATTTAGTGAAACAGCACGTTCACAAAGTAGAAAATAAATGACATGAGATTTCTGATATGCAACTGACTAGTTGAAATCAGAACCTAAGCAAATTGATGGGTGGATGGTATAACGGCCTATGTGTTTGTTATTAAAGGAAGCAGCCTTGAAGGATTATTTTTATTTTTGTGCTTTCAAATCAGTCTTGATTCCTGGCCACTATCTGGACAAGTCCACGCAGTTTTCTTGGCAACATTTTCAGAAGTGGTTTGCCATCACCTTCTTTCTAGGGCTAAGAGAAAATGACTGGCATGGAGTCACCCAGGTGACTTCATGCTAAGGCAGGACTAGAACTCACAGTCTCCCAGTTTTTAACCTGGTGCCTTTTACCACTACACCAAACTGGCTCCCAGGAAGGTGAATAGGCAGGAACTATTGAAAACATACAGAAATCAGTCCAAAGAATTATTGACATCTGGTGGATAAAATAGCTTAAATTTGCTCCGAGTTGGATTCCAGCTGGCAAGTCCTATGGAGTTGACTGTGGCTTGGTCTTATGATATTATCTGGGATGAGTTCAAGTCTTTTAGTCCTGAGGAAGTGGACAGGGTTCTTGGTACTGTGGATGTAGTTATCTGATCCATGCCCCTCCTGGTTAGTCAGGGCTTCCGGGGGAGAGGAGAGTGGATGGACCCAATGGAGGTGAATGCTTTCTTAACAGAGGTGGTGATTCCACCAGTTCTGAAAGAGGTGGTAGTGCACCTTCCTCAAGAAACCATTGCTGGATCCTGCACATCTGGACATTTTTAATCCAGTCTCTAACCTTCCCTTTTTGGGGAAAGTTATTGAGAAGGTGGTTGGCCTACAGCTCCAAAAGGTCCTGGAGGAACCAAATTATCCGGACCCTTCCAGTCAGGTTTCAGGCCAGGATTCAATACTGAGACAGCTTGGGTTGTGCTTATGGTTTACCAGTGGCAGGCTCTGGATGGGGATATGTCATCCATCCTAGCCCTCCATGATCACTTGTCAGCTTTTGATACCATCAACCATGGTATCCTTCTGGACCAGGGGGTTGAGAGTGGGGGCACTATTTTGCAGTGGTTCCTTTTTTTAGGAGGTCTATTCCTAGGCCCCTGCTTGGAGGGGTGCTCAGGGTTCTAACCTTTCCCAGTGGGAGAGTTCATATGCTGCCATGGAGTGTAGTATCACTAGTATGCTGATGACATCCAATTTAGGTATCTCTGTCCCAGCCACCAAAGCAAAGCTGTGACGGTTCTGTACCTGTGTTTGAAGGCTATGAGAGTCTGGATAGGGAAGAACAGGCTTAAGCTCACCCTCCCAAGAGTGGAGTGTGGGTAGTTATGAATATTCCTCATTATGCTCATGTGACACCTCTACTCCATGAACTGCATTAGTTCACAATAGGCTTCCAGGTGCAATTCAAGATGCTGGTTATCATCTATAAAGGTCTATAAGGGAGTTCTGTTGGGCTGTGTTTTAATGGCTGTCTTTAGTGTGGGATGTTTTGTTTTGTCTATGTTTTTAATTGTTTTAACTTAGTATTAGATTTTGTAAGCTGCACAGAGTCTGCTGCAGTGGGTGACTATAAGAAGTGAAGTGAAGTGAAATTAAAGTCAGATAGGGTGGGCATTCTCTTCCCTTAAATGTTGTCATCTGGCAAGCTGCACCTTCTCCATAGTTGACCCTGCCCTCTGGAACAAACTCTTCCCTGAGATCTGGCAGGCTCCCACCCTCTTGGCCTTCTGCAAGGCTTCAAAGAACTGGTTCCTCCCCCAAGCACTGGGCTAGGATGGGACTGGAGTCCAGTGGATGTATGGAGAAGTGTTGTTTGGGGGCACCATGAGGTATATTTTTTGTTGATAGTATTATTGTTTGTTTTTATATTGTTATACTGTGAGGTACCCAGAGTTATTATATATAAGATGGGTAGCCAAATAAATCTTTTAAATAAATAAATTACATAGAAATGAGTTATTTGCAGGACCCCTGCTCCTAGGTATCTGTCCGTCCCATATACTTCAATAAGGAGGGCACACTCCATTCTTTTCATTGACAAAATGCCACCTTATGGGACCTTGGAAGCATGTCTTCTTGTGGTGGCCTCTGCATTTTGGAACAATCTGCTTCCCGATATATAGTTGATCCTGACACTGCAGGCTGCCTTTAGAAGGGCAGTCAAATCCTGGCTCTTTCTCCAGACCTTTGGTCTGGATGAGTAGAGTCCTAGTTATTGAATGTTTTAGTTTAGTTGTGGTGTTGTAGTTTTAGTTGGCTTTTAATATATTGTCTTGTTTTCCTTGGAGTTTGTATTTGTAGTTGACTTTGGTCTACTGCCCAGAGTCACTTTGTTTGCACTGGATAGAAAGAAAGAAAAAAAAAACTGCTATAGTAGATAGACAAAAACTGGAATAGTGTGAAATAAAATGGGACATACTGACAGATGGAGGAGGTAAAAAGCCTTCTGCAGTGATTCCTAAGAAGCTGAAACAGTTCTCTAAACAATAATTAAATCAGTCTCATTATTTTGCAACAGTTCTGCATATGACATCATCCATCAGTAATCCACAGGAAAATTTGGGAGATACTGTGTTTGGATGGCAGGGCTAGTCATGCCCAATTCTTCTTTTGCCATCTCCTCCCAACAATTGGCATGCAGTTCCTGAAAAGTTACTTTTAAAAGATAATAACCCTTGGGTTGAAAGAGATTCTCCATCCATATTTGTAGAGCAAACAGTTTCTAATTGCTCATGTCTGTCGCAGCCAAAGAAGGAGAACCAGTTTTGTCTGCCACTGATATCTTGCATTTTATTAACAACTAAAGTTATAATAAATAGCCTACTTTTTATCTTCCAAGGATACCAAGTGTACTCTGTTTAAAATATTGAGTGTTTGGATACTGTTAATACATGCAGGAAAGTTAGGTTTTTTCTTCAATTACACTTCAGTGTTTTATTTATGTTTTAAAGAGGTGGCAGTTCTCTGACAGCTGTCTAAATCAATTGGAAGGAGAGGAAATGAATTTAAAAAGGAGGACGCTAACACTAATCTTGCTAAGGCAAAGCAGCTTTCTGGAATGGTTCCATGTTTTAAAAAGGCTGGATACCAATTCTCTTTTGGGAAGATCTCATTCGCTTCCTGACGGATGTCATTATTGTTGCTATGGTGAATAAATTAATGCTGCATGATGCCACAGGATCAGAGTAAGCACTGATGTCTTTGGAAGCTGCAAATAGTCCACCCCCACATCTTTCTATTAGTATAGGCTGACTGACTTGATTATGAAAAATAATTGATGGGGCAGGGGGAGATAGACAGAGATTTTTGTTGGTTTTCCCTCCCCCTTCTCTATCTTTCTCTCTTTCAGACATCTTTTCTTTCCATTTAGCCCTCTTAATATATTTCAGAATGAAAGTATTATCTGTGTAAAGCTCTTGAAGCAAATGTTAGGTATTCTGTATGCAGGAATACCTTTTTTTTTCTTTCTGAAGAAAGAAGTTTAAATAATCTATTGATTCTTGTTTAACAAGCAAGAATCCTGACAAACAAAGCAAATTATTGGATCTTTTTCAGTTTGGGTTCAGGCCTGGGCATAGAACAGAAATAGTGCTGGTTGCTCTAGTGGATGATCTAACAATCATTTTAAACCTCTCAGTAGATTTCAATATCTTCAACCATGGTACTGGACCACCTGTGGGAGTTGGAGGCACTGTTTCTGGTGGTTACAGTCTATGTGCCATCAAGTCAGTATTGTCTCCTAGCAACCACATAGATAGATTTTCTCCATAATGATCTGTCCCTAACCTGGTCTTTCAAGTTTTCCAACAGTGCACCCATTGGTAACTGAGTTCATCCACCTTGCTGCTGGTCATCCTAGTCTTCTTTTTCCTTCCACCTTTCCTATCATTAGAACCTTCTCTAAGGAGCTAGGTCTTTGCATAATGTGTCCAATGTAGGATAATTTGAGCCTGGTCATTTGAGCCTTGAGTGAGAAGTCTGGATTGAGTTGTTTGATGATTCATTGATTTGTTTTCTTGGCTGTCCACAGTATTCTCAGGAGTCTTCTCCAACACCAAAGATAAAAAGAGTCAATTTTCTTCCTATCCTCCTGCTTCAAAGTCTACCTACCTTAGTAGGCAGTTCTAATCATAGTGGTAGATAAGGAGCAATCAAACTAATGGGTAAACTTTCAGCTCTCTCCCCACTACTTTTCAACAGCTATATAAATCTGCTGGGTCAGATCATCACTGGTTTGTACAAGATAAAATCATATGCTACATCACCACTCCAAGCTGGGCCAGAGGTGCTGTGGGAATCTAAGCCTGATATCTGGAAGTTGGAGGGTCTAGAGAGATAGAAACAAGCTTCGACTCAATCCCAGTAAGTCAGAGTTAATGTTTGTCCACAAACATTCTGATTCCACAACTGTTTCATTGTTGTTTCTGGATAAGGTCATTGACATTGTATAGTTGGACTTTCAAAAAGCTTTTCATAAATTTCTTCATCAAAGACTCTTGGGCCAGTTGAATAGTCAGTGATAGACTGAACAACAGAAAATAAAGAATAGGAATAAATTGGCAGTTTTCACAGTGGAAAGAGGTAAGAAGTGAAGTATCATAAGGATCTGTTTCAGGCCCAGTGCTATATTGTTGATATGCAAGCTAGTCAGGTATATCCAGTGAGGTGGCAAAATTTTGTTTCTTGTATGTTTAATCAGTCAAATTGATACAGCTTCTAACTCTCAGTTTGTGATTCTGAGGTGACACAAAATTATTTAAGATGGTGAAGAAACAAATGGACTGTGAATTGCTCCTAAGGATCTCTCTAGACTTGGTAACTAGGGCATTAAAAGCAAGTACAATTCAATATCAGGAAGTACAAAGTGATCCACATTGGAGCTAGGAATTCATGTTTCTGAAATAAAATGGTGAGGACAGAAGTGTCAGTGGTCAACCAAGAAAGAGATATTGGGGTAAATAAAATCATCTACACAATGTGCACAATTTGTAAAGAAGACAAAGTCCTTGATAGAGTAGAAAAGAGATAGATAATAAGTCAGCTGATATTTTAATGTCCCTGTACATTATGGCATGCCACATCTAACATCTTGTGTACAGTTCTGATCAACACATGGTCACCACATCTGATATCATAGAGCTGAAAAACATACAGAAACATACAAATTGATCCGAAGGTGTGAACACCTTCCATGTGAGCATAGGAAGCAATGATTTGGGCTGTTTAGCAAAAAAGCACTTAGAAATGTTTGAGATTTATAGAATTATGCATGATAAAGAAAAGTTGAATAAAGAACAGGTTTCCTCCATTGCCCATAATACTGGGACTAGAATTAGGACCTACCCAGTGAAACTGACTAGTAGATAAGTAACTGATAAAAAACTGGTAAGAAGAAATGTTTCCTCAGGTGGCACGTAATCGAACTAGAATGTGCTGCCACATGATATGGTGTTGGCCTGAAAAGGAGACTAGATAAATGCCTACTAGCCGTAGTGCTGACTCCAAGGGCAGTTTGCCTTCACATATTAGATATACAGGAGCAACAATAGCAGAGGACAGCTGCCTTGATCTCCTATTTGTGGGCTTCTAGATGCATCTGGGGTGCACTGTGTGAAACAGAATGCTGGCTAGATAGACTTAGGCCACATCTAGTTGGGTTGGTCTGATGTTCTCCTATTTTCCATAAAGTTGCTGGAAGAGAAGGTGGAAATTATGCTCTGGACAGTCTTTCCCCAGCTGAGATTGGTACACTGATTTTCACCCAGTTTGGACCAAGATGCCCTAAATGAGGCAATTAAGATGTTTAGTGAGTGAATTCTGCTATGTAAACATTGTATCTATTATCTGGCTGCTTTATGGGTTACCAAGTTCCAGTTTAAGGTTCTAGTTTTGACCAGTAAAGCCCTATATGGCTTGGCTCCAGTGTTCCTTAAGGACCCTCTTTTCTAAATGGAATGTGCTGTGTCTGGGCATGCAGAGGAACAATGCTCTGCTTCTGTCTCTGTATGAACAGAAAACAATGCAGGTCCTAAGTAATCCTTCTCTTTTGTCTCTCCCCATATTACAGAATACCTTGTTCCCAGAGGTGCACTTGGCATCCTCTCTATTAGCTTTCTGCAAGCTAGTTCTATGGAAGACAATTTTGTTGGAACTGTCATTTGTGGTTTAGTTGTTGACTATTACTTGGATAGGCACTGATTTGTATCTGTATTTGTATCAAGTTTGTTTTGTAAACCATTAGGAATATGTTTTGAGTTGGGTGATACAGAAATACTTGTAATGAATGAATAAATGCATTCTTCATGTTCAAAACACTAGTGTGCATTATTTTTTCTTTTGCATTAGTTCTAAATCACACCCTACTTTTTTAAAGGAAAAGAAAAAAAGCTTGTAAACTAAGCTTGAGCGAAGACTGTAGCATTACTACTATAGCATCACTTAATCTAAATAAAAGATGCTACAGTTAGTGTCCCATAATAACATAATGAAACTAGGTTTTTTACTTGGATCTGTACTTTGTGGCCTAGCAGAAGAAGGGAGAGGCAATACAATGAATCTGGCATGCATTAAATAGAAGAGTCCTAAATTAAAAGAGTAAATTATTAATGATTTTGTAAATGGAATATATCATCTGGATGGGTGGTGGGGTGATGGGAGAGAATTCTTCAGGAAAGAATAAATAGTTTATACTGCTGCATTCCATATAAGTGATCTTGATTGAAATCTGCACTGCTGGATTGCATTTTGATGGAAGCTTGTGAAATATATCTGCAAAAACAAAACAAACAAAAATGAAATGTATAGAAACCACACAGGAACAGGCAGGGCCTGAACAGGACTGAATGATAACTGGGAAGCTGTCAGCAAAGGAAAAAGTTTGCTTTGAAGGCTCAGAGTGCTAGGAATTCTTAAGTTCTAATATACTTCATAAAACTATGTAAAACAATGTTCTTAGTAAATGCTAAGCAAACAGTAGAGATAATGGCTTTTATTTCAAGAGTCTTATGCATGTTTAATGTGAAATATTTTTAAAAAACAGTGCTGTCTAACTCTGTAATTGGAAGGAGATGTCTTCCCCTCCTCTAAATTTTATATTAATCTGTGTGTGTTTCTTCTCTAGCTAAAATTTGTATTTTTACCTTTTCTCTCTATTCATATTTTGATGAAGGGGTACAGCCAGGGATGAAATGTGCAATTTCTATATTATGTATTACATGGAAGCCAAATATGCAGTTTCATCCATGACCTGTACACAGAACATTAACCCAGAGATGTTCAAAAGCATACCTCAAGAAGCAAATATCCCTATTCCAGTCAAGCCTGATATGACTATGATAGCCCATGGACATAATGAAGGTAAAAATATTTATTCCTTTGCTAATAGCACTAGGGAAAAGAATGATATGGCTGAGCATATACAGTATTTGTTAGGAAGTTAACCAAGGTGATTGAGACATCTGTTTAAACATGCCGGTATCTAAATATGCAGCAAAAAAAAAAAAATGTACAAGAAAATCCAGCACAGCCCTGCAGGTGGTCACCAGTACATTCAGCTGGCATGATGTTGCTTAGTATTTAATCAGTTTGTTTGTCATATTACTTTGTTCTGTTATTAGTATAGGTCTAATCCTATGTGACATTAAAATAATGTTAATATTTATTGATTGATTTTTAATTATGTCCCTTTATCTTTTTCTTATCTTTTTTGTTAACTGTCTTTATTATCTAGATTGGATAGAAAAGTGAAATAAAACTTAAAAATAATTCAGAGATTCAGTTTAAAGCTTCCCTATGTTCTGTTTTACTATTAGATGCACTTGGAAATTTAGGTGAGATACAGTTTAATCCTATGGAAATAAGCCTGCTTGATTGTCATGTATCAAATATTTCTGTTTCCCCTTTCTTCTGGGTTAAATATAAAAACCCCAGAAAGCAGTCCTCTGACTTAAACTAACTGCACTTAGTTACATTTGAACTGAGCCAAATTACAGTTTTAAGGCAGTGTTTACTGAGGATTGAAAGATACTGTTTAATCTTGGTCTATTTCAATAAACCATAGATTTAAGTAACCATAGTAAAGATTAAATAACCAATTGGTTAGTTTAAACAGGGCATGGATGTTTCCAATCTCCTTATAGCCATTCCAGAAGAGAAGCTGTCACAGTAATGCCATATCTGAACTGAGATGATGCATTGTGGCATCAGATGATGTATCGAGATGGAATAGAGCAACACTGACTATGTTTCCATACTCTAAACAAATACTTTCATACCACTTGGTTATAAACTTAACCAAAATATGTTCCAGAGTACAGTCTACATCCTAGATAATTAATAATGTCATACTAATCTCTTCTGAAGGTTAAAGTCTTTGTAACCAGCAAGAACACGTTTCCTAGTTTTTATATCCAATGAGCAAACCTCTACTGGAAGATTTATAAATGTTAGAAATAATCCCCTGGTGTGTTCTAATTTATTTCTGTGAGGAAATATTCCTCTGCTCTTCCTATGGTAATTTATTTGATCAGAATTGGATACGTATGCAATGTTCCTTTAGTTCACTAGTTCACGAACCATTGTGAGCCTGAGTTCTCGCATATGTTCATCTGTGAATCATCAAAGAGTGAGTGGCTTAATAACTTAGGTACAGGAATGAGCCAAGTTACAGATAATTATAAATGAATTATAGGTAGTATATTTTCTGATAATTAAGTCTGATCCCAGAAAGTAATAATTAATTCTCATCCCAGAAAATTATTAGTTGCTGTATTTCCTCATGGGGTTCAATCTAAATTTAGGTGCATACAGAATAGCCAGAAGAAGCAGAATTCCTTATTTCTTCTACCTATGGTGACATCTCCAGGAATCCCAAATTGTATGACTGCAGTCAAGAGACAGTTGAACTATATGGACTCTTATCTAAGAAGGAAGGGAAGGCTCCCTGTAAAATCAGTGTGCACACCTTCATTTTGTAAGCATCTTGTTAGAACTACAAAATTCCAAGCAATCACTATGCAGCAACAAACTCTACTGTTGCTCCCATCTAGTGATCTTTCAAATGTTTGGCTCAGATCCTATAGGCCCAATCTTTTGCCAAGATTTTTCAGAGAGGCTTCTTTGGGGACGGACAGATGTGGTGATCCTGTTGCCAGCCATGACTATATCTAGATTCAACCCACAGTGATTGAATATTGATACAAAAGTCACTGTATGGAAGAATATGAAGCTCTGTGAATTTCTCTAGTAATTTATCTATATTTATGATATGAAATTTCTTGATGAAATTTCTTGATGAATTTTCATTTATTTTCTTTTTTAGAAATCAAAAATGAAGACACAGGTACTATAATACAGCAGCCAAAAAGAGAAGAGGAAGAAGTTTTAGATCAGGGTATGTATTGCACTTGTCCATTTAAATACAGTACATCTTTTACAATTCTAGTGTTAAAATGGTTGCAATGTTATGAAGATAGTATAAAGTATTGTTTTACTAACATGCAAAACTATCCTTGCCACTCTATGGTAGTGCCCCAAATAAGACATGTTTTAAGAGAAAGTGGCTGATTATCAGCTTCTAATCTTGCAAATGACTCCATTAGCACAACCTAATTTGATTTTTCAAAGTTAATTTATTTATATAATTGTAATCTTATTTGTCTGTATACTCCACTAAAAATATTACTAGATTTTACTAGTGTTCCATACTTAATTTGTAGCTTTTAGTTACAAAAGTACACAAAAATAATGCATGCATATTTTTAAGAGGTATATTTTGGCCTCGATATTTATAACAGAGTAATGTTTTATTAATTATGGCCTAATATGGAGCAGCTTGGAAAGAAATTGGAAATCTGCACACAAGAAGTATATTTCTATGCTTTAATATTTGATATTAATTTTTTTTCATTGTAAAATTACAAAATGTGTATAATTCCATGTTTTCAAATCTTACATTAAACAAAATCAAACATTAACGTCTTTCTGATTTTATTAAGGTATTCTTTGGGGACATGATTTCTTGCGGTTCCCTGTAAGCCAAGGAATGGATAATGGAATATAATATTTATTTACAAAAAAATATAGCTAAATATTCTTTATTTATATAGAATATATAGTGTTACACACTCATACATAAACAGGTGTAAATTAGTATGCAAAGGGAAGGTTACCTAGCTTGTACTTTCTCAATCAGTACCTTAAATGCAATTATTCTGTTTGCAATTGTTCCTATTTTGTGAAGGTGTGTACCTCTGTATCTATTTATGGGAAATTTGCTTCCAAAATGTGTCTATTAGATGAAATCATATAAAATGTATGTATTAGGAGAATGCATCAGAAACTAATGACTAATTCTGATGCACCGTTTATTCATCTGTGGAATGTTTCAGTAGGAAAAAAATCTGACCAAATTATTCTGATGAAGTCTTTGCTACCTGTTCTCTTTATGTTTGTAATTCAGTGATCAGTTGTTCATTTGCTTACTTCAGCAACATAAGTTGCTGATCATCCTTCTCCACAGATCATCAGGAATACTAGCTGATACTAGCTGACAAGTGTTACGGTCTTTGAACTGATGAACTCATACTTCATTGCCCTGATATGCCCCTTTGACATAATTCTATGCTGTTTCAACTGCTATAAGTTGAAAAACAAAACACTACTTTTGTAGTTAGACATTTCAACAAGTTGACATTTCAACCTAAAGTTTTTGGTTTTCAGTGAATGCCCATTTGTTCGGATTAGAATTTTGGAATGTTCTTTCTTAGCAGTTGTGTTACTTTGCAAGCTAATGGGGCTGATAAAAAATGGAAAAGTACAGTTCCATTCAAAGCAAAGTTGAAGTAAAGGGAAAAAAGACATTCCCTTTACAAACACAAAGGAAAATCAGATAAGGTGGGAAGGTTTATAAATTGGCACCAAAAGCCTGTACATTTCCCATGACCCTTCTTTGCAGCAAGGGTTTCCAACCTCCGCTGAAACCGGTCATGTAGATACTTTGCTCCAAGAGATATATACATATGGTCCGCTTATATATGTATATGCATATGGTTTATTTAATTATTTGGTAGATTTATGTCCCACCTTTCATTCAGGAGCTCAGGTTGGGGTGCATAGCCTCCCAGAGTCTGTTGGCAGTTGGACAGTGCTTTCATTAATTTATATATATCTCCCTTGTCCTATTTTGCCCCACAAGAAGAACTCTGTGAAGTAGGTTGGGATGTGACTGGATCAAAGTTACTCAGTGAGCTTCTGTGACTGAGAGTAGAAACATGTGACTCCCTGTTTTTGGTGCCAGACTTTACCACTACCCCACACTGATGAATGTATGTTTACATATGCATTGGTCAAGCCATACCTCCCAAAAAGAGCACAGCCAGGAGGAAAAATTAATTTATGTTAATTGAATGTGTGCCTACTGATTAAAATCAACACCTGTAAAATTAACTAATCACTTATTTGCATATACACACAATCACTTTTCACACATAACTGCATCTACACACCTGTATGTACTTACAGGTCCACAGGTCCACTCATATGCATAGGTAAATATAAGAACACAGTACATTCCCATAGGGAAAGAGAGGTGGAGTTCAATAGCTCTTCCTATCAAGAACATATTTATACTAGGCTAGGCTCGTTCTCCTCCTTTTTTCATCATATACAGAAGGTGAAAGTACTTCTTTCCACTGGAAGGTCTCCAGTAATTAAGGATCCTGATTTTCATGAATCTCCATTTCCATGAACAGCCTCTAGGAGGCTCTCCAGATAAATACTCTCCACACCAGAGTTTCCCATCCTGGACAACCTCCAGATATGTAGACTTCAGCTCCCAGAATTCTCAGCAATGACCGTGATCTCTGGAAATACTGCTGTACATGTACATTTCAGTGAGAGGAAGATAAAGCTAATGTGCTCATCTTTTTCTCCCCTTTGAAGGAATGGCAGCAGCTTCTTCCCCTCTCCAACAGCTGTTTCAAACATGTCTTTGATGATTGAAACCTGCCTACCCATTTCCTCATTGTCATTAGTATGACTATGTGCTATATGCTCAGGAAAACACACACACACACACACACTGCTCCAATTCAGAAGTAACTATTTTGGGGGACAATCCTCATTGACCTTTTGTATATGGTCTTGCTGTTGAAAGACTGAAATTTATAGTACAGAATGAAATTTACAATATAGCATCAAAGCTGGGAGAATAAGTGGCCAACTGTTTCCATAAACTGTATTATAACTTAGCACTGAACTTGTGCAGATACTATCCATAGACATTTAACTGTGCATTCTTATTCTCAGATGTCTTAGTATCATACAACAGGCCTTTCTTTGCAAGGTTTCCTCTAAAGTAAATTCTGTAGAATGTGATATTGAATGTGATATTCTTATTTCTTGCTTGGGAATTCTTGTTTAATACAGCGGTTAATGTACTCTTGGTATGGCATCTGATTTTAATAGGAAATGTTTGCATTTTTTAAAAAATACTGGAATGTTTCTTCTGGGATTTTTCTTGTAAAAGCATCACCTTAAAGAGATACTGCATTATTGTTTTAGTCAATAAAAATCTCTACTTCCTAGATGTATATATGCCCCCAAGATGTTTATATGGCAACACGTTCTTTAACTGTTATTGGCTAAGAAAGAATTCAAAATCCTTTAAGACTGTGTGTGAATTTCTATAATTAATTTTTAAATAATTGATATAAAGTATCTTTCCCTGCTGATTTTTATTGCAGTAGTTTTAGCTTTACATATAAGTGGAAAAAATAAAAGCAATTTTGGGATTTCATTTGGCTTGTTAATGACAAAGGTATTATATTAATATGATTCTCTAAATAATACCTTTCCATGACTAAGGCCCCCTGTTAGGTAATAGATTGATTTTGAATGTTGTATTGGCAATATATTGTCAAATTCAGGGGGTGGGCAGTCTTTTTTCTATTGAAGGCTATATTTCCTCCAGATAATTTGTTGTGGGTAGGATGACAATTATGGCATAACTGAATCATAAATTGGTGAGGCCCCTTGTTCTCTTTCATATTTTTTTGTAACCCATCAACCTCTTTTCCAAGTAGTGGGTTGACAGGAATGTGACAGAAAGCCTTTTCCAGAATTCTAAATAGAGTTTTTGAAGGGGCTTTTGAAAGGAGGCTGTAGGTGACATATGGCCCTTGGGCTGCACATTGACCACTTTTGCTGTAAGTTTCCATTCCCCCCCTCCTCATTTCTTCCTTATAATGTTGAATAATCTTGTTTTTAACCTGAATAATTTTTCAATCTAGATTAAGTTGTTAGACTAGGACTGGGGAGACCCAGGTTTAGTGGCACCCTAGACACAGAAGATCACTTGTTTACTTTAGGCCAGTTACTCTTTCTTAGCACCAATTAGCCTGCAGGATTTTGTTAGCAGAAAAATTGGAGGGTGCAATGTAATGTATCCTATTTTGAACACCTAGAAATAAATACATTATCAATTATCAATTAATTTTGATTCACAGATCAAAATGGAAAAATGGAGCTCTGTTTTTTCTTTCATAGACTAGTATGGAAAAAACAGAAATGGCTATAGCTATTTTGTTTATCACCAACATGGAATTGAGAGCCAGTTTGGTGTACTAGTTGAGGCACCAGGCTAGAAACCAGGAGACTGAGAGTTCTGCTCTGCCTTAGGCACTCAGCCCTAGGAAGGAGGCAACGGCAAACCACTTCTAAAAATGTGCCAGGAAAACTACATGAACTTGTCCAGGCAGTCACCAGGAGTCAAGGCTGAGTCAAAGGCACACGCATGCAACATGGAATTACATTTTCGGGAAAGCTAGAAACAGTAAAATTAGTCTGTTTTATGTATTGGTTTATCAGCCAACTGTTATGAATAGATTTTAAGCCTTTCAGATTGCATAGAAGCTGTGGCAGAGGAAGTTTGAACTATGCTTCTTTAAGGTTTTAAGCACATTTTTTTTTTAAAAAAAGTTGGGATAGAATATGATAAAAATTGCCGTGAAAATTTCCAGTTGTGAGGTATACCTGTGGCACATTGAGAGTGATAGATTTATGGTTTTTCTGCAGAGGGAAAGATGGCTCATAAAATTATTATGCTCATTCTCAGTATGGCAGAGCTGTTTGAGACAAATCTGTAAGAGATTAACTCACTGATCTTTTTCATGAAATAAAGCAGTCATTATGCTGGTCAACTACTTATCGCAGTTTACACAGCTTTAGCACACAACTGCTCAGGATAGAGACTGTGTACCACTCAGGTGGAATTAATAATAAAATTAAGAATCTCTTTTTGAACATCTGTTTACAAAGTGATGGTCTGATTTTAAGCATCATTCTCTTTTGAGGACAGACTAGTTAGTCCCTGAATACAATACTTCTCAGTTCTTCCACCTCCATGGTATTTTATCTAGATAATGAAACAGATCAGGACCAGAGCTTTGGAAAAGTCCTGATCTAGAATGGATTGAATTCAGATCCATCTATTCTGCCTATGTGTTCTGAATTACTCTGCTCTGCCTCAGAATTCTAACTGTGACTGAATCTGAGGTGTACCCTTAGTAGTATGTAACCCAGTTCCAGTTTCAGAGAAAAGATCAGTGATGTCATGTCTTGTTATATGAAAAAAATGTGGAAATATTGTTGCGTTCATTATGAATTTTTGCAGTAGGTTTGGGACTATAAGGTTATGGAAGCCTGCAAAAGCATCAGTAAAGTTAAATTACAAGCATTTGATGCACAAACCTTACAACATTTTTTGAAATCTTCCAGCCATCTGCTTCATTATTCCTAAGTAAGATTTAACATTCTGTCCTTTCAGTGCAGGAAGTGAAGTTTATAAATATAGTGCTCAGTGAGAAACACAGAGTGCCGTAGTGGCAGAGTGTTTAAGACTTGAAGCAATGCAAAATCAGCTATATTAAATACTTATACAAGACTAGGGTGATCTCTACACAAAAGAAGCATTTGCCTCTTGAGATGAGACAAAACTAAAATTTAAAAAATCGGTACTAGTTCTAGCCCTAGACAAAATGTTTCTCAGTGATGCAACTGAGAAAATACTGCAACAATGCCAAAAAGATAGTGAAATAAGATAGGGTTTTCTGATGCTTTCAAATTAATATTTTATTTAAAAGAAAATACATTGCATCTTTCAATTATATGTAGCTAATAATATAACAAAATGCAGTTAACATATCCACTTCAACAAGACACAACAAAAGAGCAAAAATGGGGATGGGGAAACCATTTTTCTAAAAATCATCAGAGAACTTGCCCAAAAACAGTCATCCCACTTGTCAGGAGGGTTTCCAGACTTTCAGCCTCTTCAAAAAAAGCAATAGGAGACATTAAGCACCTGCACTGAAAATACTGAAAATAGTTCTCTATTCCATCCCATAAGGATCAGGAAGTTCCTTGCAGGTTGAGTTTCTGCCCTAAGTAAATATAGTCAGTTTATCAGTGTATTTTCTCTGTGGGAAATTTAATTTTGTGATGAAAAGGACATGATCAGTTAATTTTTCTTCCTTTGCCACTTAGACTTATTTCCTGTTTGATCTGCTGCTAAATAAGTGAGAAGGATTCAGTGGAGATTGATGGTCCTGGCCTTATGCCACTATCCCATTTCCCCTAAAATACATGCAATGCAAAGCCCGAGCTGGGGAGATAATGCCAGCATCTATAATGTGTTTCCTGATACCAGAAACAATATTCCTACGTTCTTGACTTCAGTCAATCTAATTTTCATGGCTGACTTGCTGAATGAACAGTCAATTCTTTATTTTATCCTAATTATTTATCGCAAGATATTCCAGAGCAGTGATTCCAGTTAGACTAGGAAACATAGGAAAGCAGAAGGAAAGAACTGCAACTTATATATGTATGTGTACCATGAGTATTGTAGCAGAATACAAAATATCATATGAGAAATGCCTTAAATCAGAAGTTCAAGAGGGCTGATGAAAAGAAGCAAGCAATCTAATATTGAGAGTACTTTATCAAATGTGTTATCAAGGTTGGCTTAACACATTTTGTTCAGCTCCAATTTGCTTTGTTAATTTCACCAAAATTGGCTGTATTAACTCTAATAATTATTTCCTGACAGGAGATTTCACTTGGGATATTCCCCATCAGAAGAGTGTAACTGGAAATTTAGTAGAAATCATTGAGACAGGACTGTTTGTAAACATGACAATCCCTCCTTAGGGTCATTTCTGGAAAGACTTAATTTTCCTCTTTGCTGGTTCTTAATAATAGATTTTCCACAAAAGACCTGAAGCGTAGCTCATTATTATTTGCATTTATTATTACTTTTAAATGAAACTTTTAAAATGTTTTATGACATAATTCCTATAAAAGTTTTTTTTTTTTTTTAAAAAAAGGCTAAATAATTGAAATCTTCAACGTCTCCCTTAATTACCCTCTAAAACTCATGGAAGTGCCTGTGGACCAGCATATTTGCTGAAGTTATGGTGAAGTTAGAGAAGTTGGTATTTCTTCCCACTGCTCATATTTAGAATTCAAAGCAGAAATAAAGCCTATGATCATTAATAATGATGATAATGATGATGATAATTCCAGTGCATACATTGGACAAGTTAGAAATAAGTTTAGAACAGGTAATAGATTTAAGGATATGTCCACTTTCTAATGGCAATTAGCTTAACAAATATCTGGAAGTTATGGTTGCTTTGAATTTTACTGTTGAAGGGAACAAAATATTACTGATGTTTGTATTTAAGCAATTTTTTAAAAAAATCTTTCAATTACATTTTAATTTTCTTCTTTCAGGGTCCTCCATGAACAAATTAAAAATTCAGAGCTACACTGTGATGCAGGATTGTACACATGGGGTCAAAAACTCAAGATAGTGATCGCAACCATTTGATCAAAGGTCTACTCCTTTTATCTGTGCTACACAGAAAAGTGGCAGAGCTTTGATCACATGGCCGTGACTGCCATTTTGACTTTTTTTTACACCTATCCCTGCAGATGCTCCTGATGTGGTAATTTAATAAATAATAGTCATTCATTTGCAAATAGTTACAAATATAGAGAAGTGTTTACTACAGGTATAGATTGGTCAAGAGAAAAATACTTTTGTATCTTGTTCAGATTTGTTACTATTCAAATGATATATAAAGGACCTGTATCTATAAAACCTGATGCATCTATCACATTAGGTAGATATTGTCTGGATATTTGTAAGCACTAACATATTCTGAAATTATATACTATATGATATGCCTACTGTTTTTTTGAAGTGCTTGAATTTTTGAAGTTACAGAGAGTTGTAGCCAAACCCATTTAGAAGGCAATAGATTGAAAAAGATAGCTGTTGATGTTCAGACTAAATTACTGTTACTGCTACTTCTGTTATTTATTCATGAGAAACTGATTTGAGTAAAAGCAGGGGTGGATAAGAACAGGCACTCTCTCTGCAGTTCTTAAGCTTAACATAATAGTCCAGCAAAGACAAGCTGTCTAACAAGCCTGTTTTTGAAAGGGGCTTGGCTCTGTGTTTTGTTCAAAATCAAATAGAAGATAATGTACAGAACTGGATTCAGTCTTTCAGAGACTAGGGACCATACTTGTTTTTTCACTGAGGGCTCCAGTAAGAGAGGGATGGTGATATGAATTAAGTAGGGCCAAGACACGTAAAATAGGCATGGTCAGATTTTTTTCAGGAAAGTTTTTCCCCCCAAGCTTCAGTAAATATTATGTCTGATAGATTATGCATCATCAAGTCGCTGTCAACTCCTAGTGGCTACATATATATATTTTCTCAGTGACAATCTATCTCTAACCTGGTCTTTCAGATCTTCCAACAATGCACTCATTGCCACAGTAATTGAATCCATCCACCTTGCTGCTGGTTGTTCTCCTCTTCTCTTCTACCTTTCCCAGCATTAGAGCCTTCTCTAGAGAGCTAGGTCTTCACATAATGTGTCTGAAGTAGGATAATTTGAGCCTCGAATGAGAACTCTAAGTTAATTTGTTTGATGATCTATTTGTTTGTTTTCTTGGCTGTCCACAGTATTCTCAGGAGTCTTCTCAAACTTCAAAGTTCTATTTGTGTATGCATGCATGCATGTATGTCTTTTCCAAGGTTTAAATATCTTTTTTTCTGTTTTCCACTAAAAAAATATTTAAAAAACTAAAGGAGAGTTTGGGAATCTGCAGGTTGCCTATCTCAAGATACAGATTAGTACCAAATATGCATAGTAATGACAATTTAACTGGTATTTCCTGAAGTGCATAGAAAAGAGTTTGTGTACTATATCAGTTGGAAAGATCGCAGTTAGTAAAATAATAGTAATAATAATAGTAATAATTGCAGTGCCACAAAATTGAGAATCACACATGCACACACAGAATAAAGATATAATCACATTTATCCCAGTATTTAGTAGAAAGTGAGTATACTTTCTTTTGAACTGTTTTCACTTGAATTTCTGGGGAATGGAAGAAATGGTTATTGTATTTGGGAGTATAATTCAGCTTAGTCGAAGCAAGTTTCAAAGGTAAGTGTAGCTATATTCCAAATATTACTTATAAACTCTCTTATTTAACATAACTATATCTTTTATGTTCCCCCCCCTCTCCTACAGTCTTCCAGAAGGTCTTCCCATGTCTAAGTTCTAAAATGGCCTTACTTTGTCAATGTAAATATTATAATAGTCTGTGATTCATGCCAAGAATTCATAAAGTTCTAACAATTGTGAACAAATGAGCTTTGAGGAATAACTTGGAATACATTTCCTCCTGCTTCTAACATCATCTCCCTGTCTGATCTTTGTCAGCTTTGCTACAGCATCTTGCACTCTGCCTGACTTGCCTGCCCTTCTCTCCCACGTCTCCCTTCTCTCTCTCTCTCTCTCTCTCTCTCTTTCTCTACACAGGTGATTTCTATTCCCTCATTTCCAGGCTGCTAGGAGAAAGGGAAGACGTGGTTCACCTGCACAAGTATAACCCTACAGAAAAGGCTGAATCAGATTTTGTGGCTGAGATTGCTAATGTAGTCCAGAAGAAGGATCTTGGCTGGCCTGATGCCAGAGCATTTTCCAAGAATGACAAAAGGGCTAATACCATTCTTGTCAGAGACAGAATCCACAAGTTTCACAGATTAGAATCAACTCTGAGGCCCCCGGAAAACAGGCATTTTGCTTTACAGCAAGCTAAACCTGGTGTAGGGAACTGGGAAAAAGAACAGACAGGAGGTAGGTTTGGGGTATTTTTATATTTCAGTATCCAGTACTGTGCTCCATACTCTGCAATATGAGGAGGAAATGTTAACTGATGTGTTTGGGGGTGAGTTTTAAAAATGTATCGTTTGACACTCCTTGTACCAAATGTTTAAATGAAATATTCATTCAGCTCAGTATAGTCATCAGGAATTATTAAAGCAATGCTCATACTGTGCTTCTCCTCTTTCCCAAAGGGCTAGTATGTTTTTTCTAGACATCTAAGCTATATAGTCTTATGACAAATTTATTTGATCATATAATCATCTGTATATAATTTCTTTATAAACAGGGCAGGCAAATTGAGAAATATAGTTGACCATTTTGAGATATCAATGGAAAACCAAGCTGGCAAAATATTTCTGTATTTTAATGAAAGCTAGCTAAATCTGACAAATGCCAGGGGGTTTTTTGTTCTAAGTATTTATTTTGCTCTTACATAAAATATGTGATTGTACTTCCTGCATTTCTATTTATTACCTTTCCAAAAGTGTAAGCATTATTGTTCTGTATATAATATTGTTTCCCCCAGAAACACAGAGCTGGTGCATAGATTGCTGGAGCCAGCTTATCTATGGAAATAAGTCAGGATGCTGTAGTAACATAAATCATAAAAGGAAATGTATGAAACAGCAGCTCTTTTTCCTGATTAGAAAAGTTGTATTGATTTTTCTTCCACTTCCCAATAGGAGACTATGAGCTGCAGTTAAACCCCAAAATGCAAAAACAAAGAGGACAAAAAATTCTGCTTCACCTATTAGGGCAATTCCAGAAGCCATAGCTTGCCTCCTATTTGGTTATATATAGTTCAGAGACTGTATGTTTTGTACTTCTGATTTAAAACAACACTGCCTTTTGTTACCTGAAGGAATTTCGTGTGATTATAAAAAGGAATATTTGGGGAGGGAGAGAGGGGTATTGCTAACATGAAGAACATAATGATCCTGTATATGGAAAATATTTTCCATTATTCCATGGGATATTCTGAGTAGATTTTGCACAGGAAACTTCACTACAGTATTTGCTGTTGCATCTCTGTTCCGTTGAAAAAGCAAGAAATGCATATTAATTGATTAGGTCAGTTTTTGATAATTATTTGGGGAAAATAAGGTTATTTGGAAACTGGTGAACAAAATATTGGTTTAACTGCAGCACAACTAATCCTAATCACAGCTGCTCTTTGGAGACTGTATTTCACCAGAAAGTAAAACAGCAACACTTGTGGTGTTACTCCAATTTAGAGATAATTATTCTTTCTGGGTTTTGCTCCTGTTTTTCACCTACTTGCCTATTACATTCTATAAATTCACAAACTATGCTGCTGTACTAGGTAGTGAAGTGTAGACAACTGGGCAGAAATAACTTAAGATTAGTTAACTTAATATATTTTGATTTTCAGTCATAATTAAAATCAGCTTAATCGTTAGAAACAGTGGAGTACATTTTTATATTAGTCATATCATAAAAAGGGTAGAAGTTTGAAAGAAAATGTTGTGAATGTTTATATAACAGATGCCTTTCAAGTATTGTGAGTATGCATTTTGTGATCATGTTTTTTTTTTTTTTTCCCCCTTGTCCATTTTGGGAGTAAGGGAAGTGAAATAGAGGCCAGAGGGAAATGACATGCATGTTTATATGGTATGGACAGAAAGATGGAATATATATAAGATTTTTTATCCCACCTTTCTTATTTTTATAAATAACTTAAGGCAGCAAACATACCTAATACTCCTTCCTCTTCCTATTTTCCCTACAACAACCACCTTGTGAGGTGAGTTGGGCTGAGGGGGAGTGACTGGCCTCAAGTCACCCAGCCGGCTTTCATGCCTAAGGAGGGACTAGAATTCACAGTCTCCTGCTTTCTAGCCTGGTGCCTTAACCACTGAGTAAGCAAACAAAATAAACCCTGACAATGATACACCATGCAGTTGGACTGCTATAACATGCTGTACATGGGGCAGCCTTTGGAGAACCTTTGACTAGTCCAGAACACAGCAGTCAAACTGTTGATAGGACAATCCCACCATTGCAGAGTAACAGCCATCTTGAGGTTGCTGCACTTGCTTTTCCATTAGCTACCAGGCCCAATTCAAAATATTAGTTATTTGTTATAAAGCCATTTACAGCACAGTACTGAGTTCCAACTGACACCAGTTTGCCAAAGTTGACTCTGTTCATCTGGTCTGGTTATCTTTAAAGGCGTGTTCTTCCTCTTGTGAGGTTCATGGAACCTTGATGAGATAGCAGACCTTCCCTGTAATGGTCTCTGGGACATGCTTTTTCCTGGAGGCTTAAATGGCACTCTCCATTCTTATATTCTGAAACCTCAGTTAAACCTTCCTATTCCTTAGACTACTGTTTCTCAACCTTAACAACTTTAACTTGCTGGGGAATTCTAGGAGTTGAAGTCCACTCACCTTAAAGTTGCCAAGGTTGAGAAATCCTGCCTTAGACTTTAACTCCACATGATTGGTGGTGGACATCCATCTGTATGTTTTTTGTACATTTTTAGTTTTTGAATCCTGTTTTTTTTCTTTTGTTGTACGCCATCCAAAGTAAAACAAATTGGGTTGTACTTGATTATGTTGCAGCTGATTGCATTCATTAACAGGTATTGTAAATAAATTACTTATAAATATAATAAATTTTTAAAAATTCATTGCATTCCTAAGCTGATTTACTTGGATATAGTCCATCCAAATGTTTGGGGCTTATTTCCAAATTAGTGTGAATGTTTTACCTGTTTGGTGTTTTATTCCTACTGAAATTTTACTTTTCATTTGGTTTGTAAGTAGAAAACGAATTGTATTCTTGCTTTTGTAGCTAAGTTTTTTCCAAGAATAGTAACTTTAGTAAGTTTTTAAAAAATCCGGAATCATGAAGGATGCTGTACTGTGTTAACCAAGCAATCAAGGGATACTGACTGGAGCATGCATATTTGGAAGTGCTCTACTGAAATCACTTTTGCGCAAGCATATTTGGAATTGTTTTCAGTCTGTGTAGGCAAGATTTCAAACAAGACACTCTTGTCTGAGAGTGGGAATAGGGAGAGAATAGAAACATGAATAAAACTCTGCATAATTTTTATACAGTTATTATGGACAGCTTGTTTGGAAATCAGTCTGAGGAGGAGTCATCAAATGGTAGCTGCTGGTAGTTCTGCCAAATTGATGGAATGAGCTCTTGCTGTCCCAGCTCTCCCTTCGTTGTGGGCAGGCACATTGCAAGTGATAGTTCACCTATTAGAATATTGAAATATTGGCATTTACAGCACAGATGATATAATAAGAGGCTTCTTGATTGATGAGTATATTTTACATTACACTTCTAAAAGAAGATACAGTTTTCATGCTGGGGAACATACCTGAGAGATCTATGCTGAGGCTATTTTTTTAGAATCAAACACTGGCTAGGTTCATACATTGCAGTTATATAACAGCATCATAGCTTGTTGGGTTTTAGCTTATAATGGCTCCACTTACCAGCATAAGTATTAGGCCCTTATGGGTTGTCCAGCAAATCATGATTGAAAATCTGGGGTTAGCTCTGTTGCACTAATTATTATAGTGCATGCAATATAATATTGCTTGCAAATGTATATTCAAGTTTTGTAAGAAGCATACTCATTGGCATATTATTTATAATAAATATATTCCTTGTTCAATTTTTCAGGTTTAAATATAGAAGAAGTAGCTGACTGGCCTGGCATAAACCTCAGGCTGGGCCAAGTTTCTGGGCTGGCCCTGGATCCTAATAACAATTTAGTCATCTTTCACAGAGGCAACCATGTATGGGATGCAAAGTAAGCAAACCTTCTAAGTCGGTATATGTATCTTTAATGCTTTCACATGTACTCTTTAATCTCACCCTTTCCTGGCTCTTTCTGTGAGATCAGGCTTAAGCAAGTGCTTTTGTTTGAAATCACATGTAAAGAGCAAGATTTTTTCATAATCAGGATTAATAATTCAATGGCTGTTAATTTGAATTACATCATTATATTATGGGTGGATAAATTCAGATTGGTTTTTGTTTGTTTGTCAGATAGAGCCTACCTATCTCTAGGGGAAGGTGTAGGGAATTACAAAGTGTTTTGCTCTCAAACTGTTCCAACCCCAAACAACTATTTCAACTGTTTGAGACATGAAACAAAAGATGTTTAGAAAGAATTATTTCTCCAAGAATGAAACAAAAACTTGCTTGTTTCAGATATTCTGTTGTTCCAGATACTGTCGTTAGGCTTTTTTATGGTTTACAATATGTTTTTTCAGCTTTTCCCCAAGCTACACAGTACAACATCAGGGACTAATCATGCTATTTGTTTAGACTGGATGAGGTGGTGTGAAAGTGTAGCATTGAGAAGAAATAAGCTGTTGAGCACATGGCCAGTCAGAAGACCACTCACAGCTTCATTCCTGGAGTATGACAAATCTGTTTCTTGATCTTCCTAAGTAGAGTTCCATGCCTTTAGAAAAATTGGCCAAGGTGATGATTTTTT